TTTTAAAAATTTTAAAAAAAAAGCTAAGAAAAAATAAGAAAGCCAGTTGAAGAATGGAAGGGTTTATTTTTGGTTCATAGTTTGAGGATACAATCCATCATGAAGGGGGCCATCACAGCTGGAACATGAAATGGCTGTCACATCGCATCCACAATCAGGGAACAGCAAGAGATAAATGCTGATGCTCCCTTTTTTCGCCTTTTTAAATGTATTTATTTTGTGTGTATGTATATTAGTTACTTTTCTGTTGCTGTGATAGAAACACTGAGCAAAGCAGTTCATTGAAGGAAGAGTTTATTTGAGCTTATACCAAAGGGGCAAGAGTCCATCATGGTGGGGAGGCATGGCGGCAGAGGTGGCTGGAGGAGGAGCAGAAACTAGGCTCTACATCTTCAAGCAGGCACAGGAAGCAAGAAAGGGACTGGATATTAAGCCCACCCCCAGTGACATGCTTCCTCTAGCATAGCCACACCTTTAAGACCTCCCAAAACAGGGCCACCAACTGGGGGCAAAATGTCTAAATACTTGGAGCCTATGGGCAGGGGGACAGTCTCGTTCAAACCACCACAGTGTGTATGTGTGTCACTGTGCGCATGTGGAGGTCAGAAGACAACTTGTGAGTCTGTTCTCTTCTTTCACCACGTAGGTCCTGGGCATCAGGCTTGGCAGCAAATGCCTTTACCTGCTGAGCCATGTCACCAGCTCCCTTCCCATTTTATTCATCCATAGATCCCAGTCCATGGAATGGTGTCACCCACATTGGAATAGTCCAGTAAATGATAACTGTAGTTGCCCATGTTATGTTATAAGCAGAGTATAAGAATTCCCCAAAACTGCCTTGTACTTTGAGTACTTGCATGGGCAAAGGTCTGTGTTTGATCCTAGCACCACATAATGAAAGAAAGAAAGGTGAAAGCCAGGAGGGTGGGAAGAGCGAGGAACTGGAAAATGCGGTATATCTTTGCAGGATCTGTCAGGTGACCCAGGTGAGGCTGCCAACACTAAGAAACTTAAAAGGTTGTCAGTCAGTTATGGTGGCACATACCTGTAATCCCAGCACTTGGGAGGTGGAAACAGCAGGATCAGAAGTGCAAGGTCATCCTCAGATACATAAGTGTGAGGCCAGAACCTGTCTACATACATGGACACTCGAATACTACAAAAAAGAGAAAAGAAAAAACCACCAAAGACTACAAAAAACTTTCTGCTCTTTGACTATTATTTGGTGCCACCTAGTGGTGGTTTCTACCCGAAACCTAACTATCACTTGAGCTGATTCTCCAAGCTGTAATTAGCTGCCATTTCCTGCGTAGGAAATCACCTGCCATTTCCCTTTCCCTCACCATATCTACATCTACAACCATCCTCCAAGATAAGAACTTTTTCCTGGGGAGTGAACAGGAAGCCATCTCCAATTATTTTATACTTAATTTTATGAAATTTTGTCATTTGTGAGTGGCTTTACTATATTTAGAGCTATAAGAAAATGTGTAAATGAGGATTACCTAGGACATATGTGTTTGTGCACATGTACATCTGTCCAGGCTGTCGTTGAACTTTTGAGACATTATGGGTTAACACTAGTGTTTCCAATTCCAGGTCATTTCACTGGGCTTTTTTTTTATTTCTTTCCTCATTCTAAATTTGTATGTCTTCCCACAGGGAGACCTGCCTTCTAACAGCACTGAAATATTTGGTTATTTGCTTAGTTCCCCCACCCCCCCATCCCTTATCTTTTGACTCAAAGTCTCTTTCTATAGTTTACTGGCCTCAGATTTACTGCATATCCCACAAAAACCATTGGTTCTTCTTCCTCAGCCTGCCTAATGCTGAAATTACAGGCTTGTGACACCACACCTGCTCTTTTGTCCAAACTTTAACTATATCTAAAATAGTTTCACAGTTGCTTCACTCATGCCACTTCTATGAAAAAGCCTTCGAAAACTAAGAAAAAAAAAGTGTTAAGGGCCTATGAGATGGCTCAGAAGGTTATGGGTACTTCCTACCAAGCCTGACCACTTGAATTCAGTCCCCAGTGTACTCACATGGTTGAAAGAGAGAACTGACTTTTGCAGGTTGTCTTTTGACCTTTACACTTGTCCGATGGCATGCATGTGCACACACACAACAAATGAATATAAATTTTAATAACTTATAAAAAGGGAGCTGGAGAGTGACTCAGTGGTTAAGAGCACTGGCTGTTCTTGTAGAGGACATGGGTTTGATTCCCAGCACCTACATGGCTGCTAAAAACCATCTGTAACTCCAGTTCCAGGGGAATCTGACACTTTCTTCTGACCTCAATGGGCATTGCATAACACAGGTACATTAACATATATGCAGGCAATATGCTCATACACATACAATAAAAATAATAAATTAAAAAATGTTTTTAAAACTTATAAAAAGAGCTAAAGATTAGTTTGCTATTGTTCCTGGAATCCTACCTCCTAGCTATATATATAAGACACTTTAATAGGGTGGAGACATGATTGGTAAAGTGTTGGCCACATAAGCATGAGGATCTGATTTCAGATCCCTAGTACCCATATTAAGCTGAGTGTAGCTATGTGTGCCTGTTATCCAAACTTGGGAGGCATAGACAGGAGGATCCCTGTTGACCAGCCAGTCTTGTCAAATCAGTGAGCTCCAGGTTCAAAGAGAGACCCTGTCTCACAAAACAGGATGAAAGGGCTGGAGAGATGGCTCAGCAGTTAAGAGCACTTACTCTTACAGGGGATGCAGGTTCTATTCCCATTACCCACATGGTGGCTTGCAACTGTCTGTAACCAGTTCCAAGGGATCCAACTCCCTCTTCTGGATTCTGTGGACACCAGACACACACATGGCACACATACATACGGGCAGGTGAAACATGTATACACATAAAATAAAAACAAGAAAAACATTCATACACATAAAAACAAATCATTTTAGCCAGAGTGGTGGCACATACCTTTAGTCTCAGCACTTGGGAGGCAGAGGCAGGCAGATCCCTGTGAGTTCAAGGCAATCCTGGTCTACATAGCGAGTTCCAGGCCATCTGGGGCTACAGGGAGACCCTATCTCAAAACAAAAAACAAATCTTTTCGAAAAATCACCAGGATGGGGGCTGGAGAGATGGCTCAGTGGTTAAGAGCACTGACTGCTCTTGCACAGGATCCAGGTTCGATTCCCAGCATCCACATGATGGCTAATACATCTGTAACTCCAGTCCTAGGGACTCTGAGAGCATTGCATGACATGGGTACACCTACCTACATGCAAGCAATACATTCATTACACATAAAGCAATAAATCCAACAGGATGGAGAACAATTGAAGAAGACACCTGGCATCAAATTTTGGCTTCCATGCACATGCATGAACAGGTACACATATATATACACACAAAAAAGAGTAAACACTAACCAATCCTTCCCTTCCCAGAGCCTTCAGTGTGATAAAGAATACTCATTTAAACTATAATTGGTTAATTATTCCATTTTGCTTCCTGTTTTAGATTCCCAAAGCACTATAACATAATGCTATATAGATATTATATGTTAGATAATTATTGTTTATTTCTGTTTTTAAATGAACAGACCCAGATGGGCGTGGTGGTGCACGCCTTTAATCCCAGCACTTAGGAGGCAGAGGCAGGTGGATCTCTGTGAGTTCTAGGCCAGCCTGGTCTACATAGTGAGTTCCAGGACAGCTGGGGCTACAGGGAGACCCTGTCTCAAAAAGACCAAAAAAAAAAAAAGAAGAAGAACAGATCCTATATGTTGTCTGGAACTGTTTTAGAATAATGAAGAAAAAGGGGTTCTGTATACTAAATAAATGAAACAATATTGCCCAGGAATCCATCATTGAAGCTGCATGATTAGAATGTAGAGTTTATTTCACTGTTTCTCTATACTTTTCTGTGTTGTTGGGAATTTTTTTTGAGACAGGGTCTCCCTATGGCCCCAGCTGTCCTGGAACTCCCTATGTACACCAGGCTGGCCTTCAACTCACAGAGATCCTCCTGCCTGTCTCCCGAATGCTGGGATTAAAGGTATGCGCCACCATGCCCAGCTGGGAATTATTTTTTAAACATTTAGTGTGTGTATATATGCCATCGTGCACATGTGGAGGCCAGAGGAGAACTTTCAGGAGTTGGTTCTTCCTTTCTGCCATGTGGGTTCTGGAGTTTAAGCTCAAGTCATTAGACTTGATGGCAAGGACCTTTATCTACATGTGGCCAGCTGGGAAATTTTCTCCAATAAAATGTTCTAAATATATATGTCCTGCCTGTCATGTTCTTAGATTTTTTTCATGAAACAAGAATTAAAGTTTTTACTCCCCTTTGATTGCCCTACCTGTTGTTGGTGAGTACTGAACAGCTTTTGATTGGTTGTAAGAGGTCAAGAGAAGTTTAGTGCAATGCATATGTCCTTTTAGATGTATTGACATTTTCAACTATGTCTAGTAGACATTTTAGAAAATCCCATTTATTACCTTAATAAAACTATTAGAGTAAGCTGCATTAGTTATGTCAGTTACTGCATTGTTACTGTCGTCGTTAGTATAAGTCGTTAATATATCTAGATTAGATATAGAAAAAGTCGAGTTTCATCAGAGTTAGAGTTAGACTGGGCAACAGCTCCACCCTTGCTTTCCTCATCTCTTGAATTAGGCAAGAAGTGGGACAAATGCAAGAGGCCAACACTCAGGATTCAAGCTACTTTCTAAAATTTTGTGTGTATGTGTGTATAGTATGGGGGGGTGGGTTTGTGCAATGATTGCAGTGCCTGCAGGGACCAGAAGAGGGCATCAGATCCCCTGGCACTGGAGTTACAGGTGGTGTGAATCTCATAATATGGATGCCAGGAATCTAACTCTGGTCCTCCACAAACGAAGCAAACACTCTTAACCGCTGAACATAGCTCCAGTCTGTCAGGCTACTTTTTTTTTTTTTTTTTTTTTTTTTTTGACAGGGTCTCCCTGTAGTCCCAGCAGGCCTGGAACTCGCTGTATAGACCAGACTGGCCTTGATCTTACAGAGATCTGCCTATCTCTCTTCCCAAGTACTAGGATTAAAAGTGCACATCACCATACCTGTCCTGTCAGGCTACTTTCTGAGCCAAGTCAGAACCATAGGAAGTTTTTTCTTATGTGCCATTTCACATCAGGATGAAAAAGGATTGGCACTCTTAAGAGTGCTAGAGGTCAACTCTGCCTTGTGCATGCTAGGCAAGTGCTTCTCTGAGTTATATTGCCAAACTAGATTTGACTGTTCATTTTTAGACACTCCACACTCCAACTCTGAAATAATTATGTCTGCCAATATAAAAAGTGACTTTTGTGTGTATTCTTCTTTACTTAGGAGAAAAGCCATATGTCTGTACAGTTCCTGGATGTGACAAAAGGTTTACAGAATATTCCAGTTTGTATAAACACCATGTCGTTCACACTCACTCTAAACCATACAACTGTAACCACTGTGGGAAGACATACAAGCAGATCTCCACCTTGGCCATGCACAAACGGACAGCCCACAATGACACTGAGCCCATTGAGGAAGAGCAGGAAGCCTTCTTCGAGCCTCCCCCAGGTGAGGCGTTTGAAAATTATATCTGTTTCTGAGTTTGAGAGTCAGTAATCATGAACATAATTTATAACCCACACTTATTTCTCAAATCCTCAAGTTTCATTTGTGTAATCACACAACCTGATTTACAGCTCTGTTAAGTGCCACAGAAGTAAGATACAGTTGCTCTGGGTTGCTGAATAGGGTAGCTCCGTCTCTTCTGGGAGGGCAGAAGAGGCTTCTCCAAAGAAATGAGAGGGTGAGTGGGGCTTAAGGAAGTGAAGAAAAGGGCCTGGGGGAAGGGAAGGCAACAGAGATCAAAGGCAAGAGGACTTCAAATAGAGAGGGGGAAGGCACATCCAAAAAGCTGAGCAGTTAAAGAGAGGTAAGTAAATTTAAGACATTGGAAGAAGCATGACCTGAATGGCAGGTCTGTCTGGGATGGTATGTGAAGTTACCTGAAATAGGTAGGGCAGGAGTGCAGGATGCTTGGGATTCACAGAGGATACAGTCTCAAGCCTAGGAGTGGGGAAGTGCTTCAAATGACTCCTAGATGACTGAAGTATTATAGAAAACAGACAGGCATCTTTCAATAAGAAAACTGCAGTCGGGTGTGTTGGTGCATGCCACTAATCCTAGCACTTGGGAGGCTGGGGCTATAGGGAGATCCTGTTTCAAAAACAAAAAAGGAAAAGAATACTGTAGAAAATATATTTCAGAGAATTATAGACATGCCAGTTAAACAAGCCTAGAAAAATCAGTAAAAGGTAGTAGATTTTTCCAAAACAAAATGTAGGTTATGTTACTGTTTCTGTGTATGTGCTTAAATACAGTAAGTCTGACATTTAGAAGAAGAAATCTTTTCTCAATTTTTTTAAAACTTTGTTTGTAACTGGGCGTGGTGGCATAGCCTTTAGTCCCAGCACCCAGGAGGCAGAGGCAGGTGGATCTTTGTGAGTTTCAAGGCCAGCCTGGTCTACATAGTGAGTTCCAGGCTGGGGAGACCCTGTCTCAAAAAGAACAAAACAAAGCAAAAAACTTTATTTGTATGTGTATGAGTGTTTTGCCTGCATATATGTAATTGCACCCGTGTCATGGTAAAGCCAGAAGTGGGCATCAAATCCCCTAGAACTAGAGTTACAGATGGTTGTTAGCTGCCATGTGAATGCTGGGAACTGAACCTGGGTCCTCTACAAGAGCAGCCAGTGTTTTTAACCACCAAGCCATCTCTCATGCTTCTCAATCTTTTTGATTTGTTGTTGTTGTTGTTGTTATTATTTTGATCCCTGTAGCCCCTCTAGCCTCTACACGCACACATTTGTACCCACACACATGTAAGCATGCATATGCACACCACGTACACATGGAAGAAAGAAAAAGCAGGCTTTAATGTTATTAAATGTAGTTTATAAGACTTTTTTATTTTATTTTTTATTTTTTAAATGTCTGGTGTTTTCTAAATAGGTTGGTTAGTTCATCTGGAACTTGCTGTGTAGACCAGACTGGCCTCAAATCCACAGAAATCTGCTTGCCTTTGCCTCCTGAGTACTGGGATTAAAGGTATGTGCCGCCACGCCTGACTTGTACACTTTTTAAGCATCTTTAGTCTCTTTCCATGTTGATATTTCAAATTATTAAAAGTTCTTACATTCTGTAAAGGAAAAAAAAACCCTATAATAGAATGTATTTTTATATTTTATTTATTTTATGTGTATGAGCCTGCAGGTATGTAAGTGTATCTGTGTTGTGTAGTGCCCTCAGAGGTCAGAAGAGGACGTCAGATCCCCTGGAACTGGAGTTAGGGATGGTTGTTAGCTGCCATGTGTTAAGGGATTGTGAAATACTGTTCCTTTAAAAAAATATGCTTGGTGAATTAAGCTGAACATTGAGCATGTATGTCCAGAGAGCTTTATATCTCATGAGAAAGTTTATGCAGGAATGCTTGCTGGGAGATAGCTCTAGTGTGCCAGTACTCCCCAGTTTCTCATCAGGTGACATGCTGATCTTCCAAGAAGACATAACATGGAGATAATGTTGCTGTGCTCATCTTATTTTGCTGAATTGTTATATTCCCACTGTATTGTTATTAGTCAGTGTTCTATAAACATGTGACTGTGATTCTCACGAGTACAAGAATTAAAACAGAGCTGATGATACAATCAGCACTCAGGTGCATGAAAGCCCCGAGTCCCCTGATTTATTATCAGTTCCATTGTAATCCATTCAAGCCCCATGGTTGCCCCCTTTGTGACCACACATGTGGGTGCCGACTCAAACCTGGGTCCTCTGCAAGTGCAGCAAGTGCTCTTAATTGCTGAGCTGTCTCTCCAGTGCTTAGAATATATTTTTTAAAACAACTGTTGCACGTGATCCCCTGAGTTTGTAACCCCTTGGAATAATGATGTATAAACAGCATTGAAAAGAAAGTCTATTAAGAAAATTGCACCTTGAGGTAGGGCTGGAGAGATGGTTCAGTGGTTAAGAGCACTGTCTGCTCTTGCAGAGGACCCAGGTTTGATTCCCAGCATCCACATGATGGCTAACAACCATCCATAACTCTAGTTCCAGAGGATCCAATGCCCTCTTCTGACCTCCGTGGGTATTGCGCAACATGGGTGCACTTATATGCATGCAGGCAATACACTCATACATGTAAAATAAAATAAAATAAATTTAGGGACAAGAGAGATGGTTCAGTAATTAAGAGCACTGGCTGCTCTTGCAGAGGACCCAGGTTTGATTCCCAGCACCCACATGGCAGCTAACAACCACCGTAACTCCAGTTCTAAGGGATTCCATGCCCTCTTCTGACCTCTGTGGGCATTGCATGACACAGGTGCACTTACATACATGTGATGCACTCATTCACATAAAATAAAAATACTTAAAAATAATATATTTAAAGAAAATTATACCTTGGACAGGTATGGTGGTCCATGCCTTTAATTCCAGCACTCAGGAGGGAGTGGCAAGCAGATCTCTGTAAGATCAAGGCCAGACTGGTCTACATAGCTAGTTCTAGGCCAGCTGGGGCCATAGGGAGATCTGGTCTCAAAAGAACAAAAAAAAAAAAGAAAAGAAAGAAAATTGTACCTCAGTGACTGTGGCCATCAGAATACATGCATCAACCACTTAATCAACTCCCTAGAAATGATTAGAATGGTTAGTATATTTACATTAGTATTTTTTTTAACTTTTAAAAAACATTTTATTATTTTTACTTTATGTGTATGAGTGTATTGCTTACATGTATGTGAGTACACCCATGTCCAGCCCCTATTTTTTTTTAACTTTTAACAAAATTTGAGGGAATGGAGAGATGGCTCAGCAGTTAAGAACACTAGCTGTTCTTGGAGAAGACCCGGGTTCAAATCCTAGCACCCACATGGCAGCTAACAACTATCTGTAACTCCAGTTCAAGGTGATCCAACAGCCTCTCCTGTCCTCCACTGGTGTTGCACAATACAGGTGCAGCTTATACCTACATGCAGACAATACATGCATACACATAAAATTCTAAAAATTTTATTGAGAATTTCATACATGCAAATAAGATGTTTAGATCAAATCCATGCCTACTTCCTCCCATCCAACTCCTCCCATATCTCCCCATCACTTTTTCCTGAACAACTTCATGTACTCTTTCTTTTTTTCTTTTTATGGGTCTTTTTGCTACTCTAACATTACCCCCTCTGAAGAGGTAACCCTAAAATCTTTTAGGGATTAGATAAAAGCTCCCAAATACTTTTGACATTTTTGGTCTTTGCAACATAGTATGTTGCTAAGAGGCCCAAGGACATTTGATTTTTAGCCAAGAAACTGGCTACTTTTCTTTGGGGTCTTTTTACCCTAACTGCCTAGCCAGTTCCTACCTCCTGTTCTTATCGCACCATCCCCTGAAGAGGTTGACCAAATTGCCGATAGGGAATCAGGATGCAGATCGCTCTGGCTTCTTCCATGCTGAACAGGGATGCAGGGTGAGGCAATTGGGGTACCCCTTCAGTGGGTCTATCTAAAAGACTCCCAAATTGTATAACTCTTAATGATAGGGAGAAAAGAAAGTCCTTGACTGGTGCCTAGGAGATGTGAAGGAGAGGTAAAGGCAAGAGTAGTTAGCATTACAAGTTCTAGACAGGGAACCAGAAAAAAGTCAAAACAGGGCAAATTTCAAATGTTCATATGAGAGTCTATTTGAATTTCTTGATGAGACCTTCCAAAAGCATCCCTCCATTGGTTTTTCTTTTGTCTGCCATGGCTGGACTTGAGAGTGATGGACTCAGGATTTGTTTTCAAGCACTTTGATGGCTGTTGGAGTAGCTAGAATCAGTGTCAGTTCCCTCGCAAAGACTTCTAGATAGGGGGAGAAAACAAATTTAACCATCATTTTAGAACAATAGTGGGTTGTCTCCCTTAGCTACAGGTGGGTACTACAGTATTGCAGACCAAGATTTGAAGTCTTATATCTGAGCAGCACTTTCTGATTAGAAACAAAATCATCAATGAGAAATAATTGTCTAAATAACATTTTATCTGGACTTAAGTCTAATGTCTGGGAAGTGTAATCCCTTGAAATATACTGATCACTTTAATCTTTGGTTATACTTTCCTTTTGGGTGTTTAAGACAGTTGACCCAAATAAACCAGGGGTCACATGGGCTTGGGAGGAGCTCCTGGCTCCTTTCTTTTACTGGTTCCGTCTGTGTGAAGATCAATCAAAGGTCCTGCTTGATCATGGCTGGCTTCACTTGAAAGTGTGGAGGAAATGTTTCCTCTATGTAAATATTCTTAGATGAGATATTCTGCTCGGATTTGGATATTTTTTAAACAATTTTTAAAATTTTATTTCTTATTTTTTAATTTTGTGTGTATGAGTATATTGCTTGCATGTATGTAAGTGCATCTGTGTTGTACATGCCCTTGGAGGTCAGAAAAGAGCATTGGATCCCCTGGAACTGGAGTTATAGATGGTTATTAGCTGCCATGTGGGTACTGGGAACCAAACCCGAGTTCTCTGCAAGAATAGT